AGGGAAAGGCAAACTTTGGCGGACCACAGGAAATCTGGAAAACAAGGAGGGGGATCTTGCTTTTCTAGGAAAAAGGGGGAGTCAGGGGGGGCTGTGTGATAGCCAGAGTCCACTGGGGGAGTTGGGGGGTCCAAAATACCGAGGCTTCCTGTTGGCTGTCTGTGCCAGACTCTGATCGACCCGGCTGTCGGGGGTGGAGGGAAGGTTCCTTCCTCCTGCTGCACAGTGAGTAGAGGCCCCTTCTTGTCTGAGAGGTAGGCGAGGCCCCTTCCTGTTCGGGGTAATTGCGGTGCGTGGCGGGTGTGGGACCTCCCTGACAGGCCTGGCCTGACTCTAGCTGTAGCTGAGGTTTCTGTAATTCATTCCACGGAACAGATTACATGATGATCAGAAGTATTAAAAAAATAATAATAATAACGTCCAAGATATTTGAGAAGATGCAGCATTTGAAAGTTAAAATGTGTTATGGAAAAGGAATGAGGAATAAAAGGAAAAGGACTAAAGATCTCTTCAAAATTAAAAAGGCAATTTCTGAAGTTGAAAATAAAGTCAGTGAAGGGCTAGAGGATAAAGTGTGAGGAAAGCGCGTGCAGAAAATATGTGAGGAAGGGACAGACAGGAATTGTGACAGAAAAGCCAGAAAGAACACTAGGAGCTCCTAAACCCAGCCCCTGGGATTCCAGAAGGGGAAGAAAGCGTCCTTAAGAAAGCAGTGAAACGCAGGAGCTTCCCTGAGCAGAGGACACCGTCTCATGACTAACCCTCCCACTAAATGACCGGCGAGAAGAATGAAGAGATACTCACATCCAGATACGTCATGGGGTCATCAGGTCACGGCGGATACGGAGACTATCCCACAGCGTTTAGAAGAAAAGAAAAAGAAGGAAATAGAAACGCAACAGTCTTTTCAGAAACCATCACTAGAAGCTAGAAGAAAGTGGAACATTCTAAGTGGAAGTAATTCTAACTCCCCCAAACTTTCAAGCATCCCGGTAAAGAAAGCTGCTTTTAAACAGATGAGGACCTAGAAAATGTATTTGTCACACACCTGTTTTTAGAAAGTTAATTGAGGATATACACTCCAGAAAAACAAGGGAGTAACCCAGAAAAGAGAAAGATGTTGGATGCTGGAAATGGAGATGCAATCCAGAAAAGGTGCCGAGCTGTGCTGCTTGCTGAGAGAGCCTCCTCGGCAAGGAGGTAGGGGAGGGCCCTGGAGGTGCGGGCAGGGCCAAAGGAGGACCCAGTGTTGTGGAGAGTTTACAGGTATTGTGGTAAAGGAGGGAGGGAGAAAAGCCAGTTGGAAATGCCAGGAGATAACTAAAGGTAATAGCTTGCCTCTTCAGTGAAAAACACAGACATTATCTTGGTGTTTATTGATACTCCAGTGTTAGGATTAGCATTTTGACGAGGAAGACTTATTTGTGGTTACCCAATAAAATATCAATGTTACCAATTTTGACAGTACAAAAGTAAAGTAAAAGCACAGATAGCATACTTTAGCAGCGGGAAGTGGGAAGAGCACAGGTGGCGAGAGACCCTCGTCTGAGAAGCTGAATAGTCGGGTGTCACTTGTTGAGGGTCCACAAGATATTCTGAGGTACAAAGATAATAAGGGAATTAAAAGTAATGCTGGGACCAGCTATATTCATAAGTTGGGAAAAGGGACTTCTGTATGTTTAAAATTTATAAATTGGGAAATCAAGATAGAAGCCAGTTTTTTGGAGGAAAGCATATACCTGCTAGAAGATAGAGCTGAAGACCTAGGAGTCATTCCCTCTTGGGAATAGGACTGGGGGCTGGGTAGGGGAGTAGTTCTCAACCACGTGGTAGGTACCACTTTGATAAAAATTAGGTTAATTCTAAAAGAGAGAAAAAGAATACATTCATAAAGAAAGAGTCGGTTTGTGAGGGCTGCTGCCTCGTCTTCCTATAACGGAGTTAAGGCTGATTTCACTACTCGTTGCGGGCACAGCAGAGCTTGTCAGGGGACTGGGTGGCAGGGTGCCTGCTGCGGTGACGGGTGTGTGCCCCAGCTTCGCCGTTCTTTCCTCAGTGATCCTTAAATTAACTTTTATTTTAAAACAGCAATTCTTATAATAAAATAGGCTAAAAACATAAATGTTCACATATGGTAATAGGGAAAGGGGAGGTCTAGAAGTCTATGTAAAAGTTCGGTTTTCACCTCAAGACCTTGGAGAACTCGTTTGTAGACTGTTGCTGCCCTCTAGTGGTGGTCGGTGTCACTACTCTCAGTGGGGTCGCCCCTACCCGGGCTTGACTGTGGACCTGACCCGTTTTTCACCACACTGAGGGCCAGCTGTGTCTAGACCTGGAGCTGGGCGCTGGGAGGGTGGACAGGCAGAGGTGAGCGGCCCTTGGCTCTCTAGGGGATGCCGACTGCACGGTGGTCTTGCTGGCCTCTCAGAGCCCTGGACCCTGTCCCCAGTCAGCAGGATCCACGGTCAACTTCAGCATGTGGTGTGTACTGCAGATGATTCACCTTTTTTCAAAAAAATTATACATATTTCAAATTTTTATGCTAATTTTTTCTATTTTGCAAGTTATGTAAAGAAACTCAGTGTGGAATTGGTCACAGAGTAATTTTTATGATAGCATTTCACAGTAATAGTGAAAATCGTTTTCAGATCTTGGTGAAAAATAGTGCCGTTACTAATCAGTTAGTATTCTCACCTCTGAGTGTGTAATTACCAGAATCAGGTTCACATTTATACTATTAACGTAAAGGAATATATGTTAATAAGGAATCTCACGTAGCTCCCTAAAACAGACTAACAGAGAGTTTACCTTTTCTACTTTGTTTAGCACTTTTATTTGACATAATCATCATCACTGTTGGGTTTTTATGTGAACTTAAAAGTCACTTTTTCTACCAGTTCTGGCCGTGACACACAGCAGATCTCATACTCTTGTGCTATTTAAAAAACTGTAAAACTTGACAAAATACATGAAACAACTGCTTCCAGGCATTGGCCAACAGATGGCCCAAGGCCGCGCTTCTTGCAAGAAGAGGCCATCAGAAGTGAGCCCCACATGCACCCTCGCGCTCTGCCTGGGGGCGCGGGGCGCTGCCCAAACTGCAGCTCCGGGAGCTGGAGCCCAGACAGAAGAAATGCTCGCGGGAGACAGAGACCAAACCCTGGGGCTGCTGGGGCCTCTGGACTCCACAGGATGCAAGACGAGCGAGGAGGTTCCTGGACAGAGAAGGCCAGATCCCTCAGGCCTGGCAGGAAGCAGGCGACAGAGATGCCGGAGGCCCCGTGCTGACCCAGGAGAGTCAGGGAGCCCTCGCTGAACCGCCACTTAAAAGTCACTTTTTCTACCAGTTCTGGCCGTGACACACAGCAGATCTCATACTCTTGTGCTATTTAAAAAACTGTAAAACTTGACAAAATACATGAAACAACTGCTTCCAGGCATTGGCCAACAGATGGCCCAAGGCCGCGCTTCTTGCAAGAAGAGGCCATCAGAAGTGAGCCCCACATGCACCCTCGCGCTCTGCCTGGGGGCGCGGGGCGCTGCCCAAACTGCAGCTCCGGGAGCTGGAGCCCAGACAGAAGAAATGCTCGCGGGAGACAGAGACCAAACCCTGGGGCTGCTGGGGCCTCTGGACTCCACAGGATGCAAGACGAGCGAGGAGGTTCCTGGACAGAGAAGGCCAGATCCCTCAGGCCTGGCAGGAAGCAGGCGACAGAGATGCCGGAGGCCCCGTGCTGACCCAGGAGAGGCAGGGAGCCCTCGCTGGACCGCCGGGGCATTCAGGAAGACCACGCCTTAGGGGCTGGGCTCGAAGGGCCACGTGAGACTTGCCCTAAGACGCCTAGTCCAGATCTCAGGAGGATAAGGGTGAGCCGCAGGCGAATTCACTGCCTGCCAGAATGAAACCCCACCTTCCTTTAAAGGAAGGCAACATAATCCACACTCTCAGCAAGACAGCTCTCCACCCCCGCCCCCCACCCAGTGCCCAGCATAACAGCAAACATCACCGGGCACGTGGAAAAACAAGAAACTGTGGCCCATCCCAGGAGAAAAAGCAGAGTCAGCCGACTCCGACGTGACACAGATGTTGGAATTAGCAGACGATGGGTTTAAAACAGTTATTGTAAATACAAGAAAGGAAAGGAAGGATTTTAATGGGCAAATTGCAGGTGGTGAATTCCTACAAGGAAAAGGAAACTCTAATTAAAGAACTAAGTGGAAATTCTAGAAATGACAAGTACAATCTCTGACATGGAACTATCACTGGGAGAGCTTTTGACATTTGAACACTGGAGAAGTGATCAGTAACTGAACGCAGGTCAGCACACTATGGAAACTGAAGCACAGGGAGAAAGGCCTGAAAAACAGAGGAGCACCGCCTTGGGGACCAGTGGGCTAGTGCCCATGGGCCAGCACAAGTGCAGGTGTAGTCTCAGAAGGACAGAGGCCAGAGGGTGGGGTGGGAATACATATATTCGAAAATGTAATAGCTGAAATTGTTTCAAATTGAATTAACAGTATCAACCCAGAGATCCAGGATTTTCAATGAACACCGAGCAGGATATACACGAGGGAAGCCACACCTATTTTTATTGTAGGCAAATCGCTGGAGACCAAGGTGACAAGGAAACCCTGGAAGGAAGGTGGAAGGGGAGAAGGGTGCATGGCACACAGGGGTGAGAGGCGAGTTCCCAACAGGAGCATGTAAACCAGCTTCAGTGGTGAAAAAGAAAAAACCCTGTCAATCTAGAATTCTGTTTACACCAAAAACAGCCTTTGAAACATGAAGGCAAAATCAAGCCATTTTAGATTACTTAAAACTAAGAGAATCCATTCCCAGAAGACCCACAGAACAAGAAATGCTAAAGGAAGTTCTTCGGCCTGAAGGAAGATGGTACCAGATGGAAACTCAGTTAAGGAGGTAGTGAAGAACGCCCCAGGTGGTGACTGTGTGGCTGAGCATAAAAGGGTTTCCCCCCCTCGGTTCTTAAATTCTTTAAAAGACATACGCCTGTTTCAAACAAAAAGACATTGCATTGTGGGATTATTAACAAATGTGGAAGCAAACTGTATGACCGAGGTAACACAAAGGATGGGGATGGGGGAGAGAGGGGTATATCGAGAGCTGTCACACCGTCTGTGAAGTGGTGTAATATTAATTCACCGTAGACTGTGATTAGTTAGGAACGTATGTTGCATTCTCTAGAGCAAGTACTACAGAAACAATAAAAGAATTATACCTAGACATCCAATGGAGAAGATAAAATTGAATACTAAAAATATTCAATTAATCCAAAAGAGGGGAGGAAAGAAAGAACGAACGTATGGGACAGAAGGAAAGCGAATAGCAAAATAGAAGATTTAACCCAACCACACCAACAGATCTATTAAATGTAAATGGACCAACACTCCAGTTAAAGTGCAGAGTTTATCCCACTGGACCCAAAAAGTAAGACCCAACTCAAAGCCATTTTCAAGAGACACTCTTCAAATACAAAGACACAGGTGAAAAGTAAAAGGAGGGGGAAAGATGGCCTCTGCGGCACCAGCTGCAAGAACGCCGTGGGGCTGGAGTAAAGCTCCCAGGATGTGGGATCAGAGATAGAGAGGCATTTCACAAAGATAAAAGGGTTCAATCAGCAAGAACACATAAAAATTTTAAACGTGTATACACTTAACAGCGGAGCTTCAAAATTCAAGAAGCAAAAAGTTAGACAGAGCCACAATTATAGCTGTAGATCTCGACATTCCTCTCTCAGTGGCTGATAGAACAGAGTAAGCCGTGAGCATATAGGTGGTCACCATCAGCAGGCCACCCAGTTGTCACTGACAGACTCTCCCCAAGGACCACGTCCTAAAGACGCAGGTCTCCAGGGCAGCAAGGCCAGGGCCCAGGCGGGGCCAGGCTCTCCTCTGCCTCCTGCTGGGTTGGCATATGCCCATCCTGGGGGGCGGGGCCCGCCTCCGATTCACCCCCAGAGCATGAGCTTGACCGTGCCCTGCAGATCCTCGCAGGCGGAGGGACAGCCTCTTTCTCCCCTAGACTCCTGACGGGCAGGGTGGCAGAGCAGCTGGCTCCTGCAGGCGGGTACCTGCCTTTGGGGCCTCCCAGGCCATGGCGGGGAGGTCTACCCAGAAACCAGTGCATTTCTCCTAGAGTAAGCCTGGTGCCCCCTGGGCCGAGTTGCAGGGACGTGCATGTGGTTGTTACGTGCACAAGCCACGGCTTGGCTGAGAGAAGAGAGCTCACGGCACCCTCGACATTGCCGAGTCTAAATTGTACGTTCTGAGCTCTCAGCGCAGAGCCTAGGCCCCCTGAACGAGACGTGCTCTGGGGCATGGGGAATGGGGCTCCATCGCTCCGGCAGGGCCCGGCCTTGCTTGGGGTGGGCGCCTTGTTCTGCTGCTGCTGCCGCTGCACAAGACACCCTGCGTATTAGTCATTCAGACATCAGCTTATGATTCTATCTCATGGCTCTGCGGGTTGACTGGACCCAGCCAGTTAGTTCTGGCTTGGGGACCTTCATGACGTTACTCTGGACTCCCCAGGGCTCTCTCCAGGGGCCGGGGTGGGGTGTCCCCAGGGCTCTCCCCTCTCGGCGGCGGCACCTCCCTCCCCTAGGAGCCTCCTGGGAGCCGTGGCGCTTGTCTGTCTGCAGGGTGGAGGCTGAGTTGGTGGCGGAGATGCTGAGCACCGCAGCCTGCATCCAGGGCAGGAGCATCATGGATAACCTCAAGGGCCGGAAGCAGCTGCGCCTGACGGCCGCCAAGGCCTTCATAGAGAGTGCGAGGTGGGCTGCGGCCCCCGGTGGCCAGGGTCGTCGTGCGCGTGGCGCGTCTGGGGTGCGCGTTTTGGGTGGGGACGATGGTGACTGCGGCGCGTGGTGCTCGCTGGGGACTGTCCCTGAGGCCGGCCCCTCCCCCAGTGGCCCTGTGGCCAGGGTCATCGCCTGCCCCGTGCGGTGGCACCCACCTCACCCCCGGGGGTTCCCGGCAGCCCCGAGCCTCTGAGCCGGGACGGGCCCAAGGAACGGGGAGCCGGGGCTCGTGAGCGGGTCACGGCGGGGCTGCCCTGAGCGGAGCCCGTCCTGGTGCTGCAGAGCTGTCTTGGGGCCCCACCCCTCCCCTCGGCGCCTACACCTGTCTAGGTCAGACCTTCCTTCCAGGTTTGGGGGCATGGCGGGGAGCAGCGCCCTGGTGATGCAGGCCGCCCGACACTTGTGGGACAGCTGGCTCCCGCTGCTGCCCCCTGCGGGCGGCAGGAAGAAGTGCAAGAGCGCCCCTCGGGAGGCCGCCAGCGTCGTCGGCAACACGGAGGCCAGAAAGCCGGTGCGCCCGGACCGCCTCTCGCGTCCTTCCCCCCGCCTCCCCGCACGGTGGGCGGGGCTCCCGCGGAAAGACAGGCCCGCGGAAGCGCTCAAGCAGTGAACACGACGGCTGCACGGGGGGCAGGGGACGCTGACACCCGCGAGATCCCAGCGGGGCAGGCGGGGCGGCTCCTGGCTGCGCTCAGGGCTCAGCTCTGCCCTCCCGCATCCCCGAGGGAACCCTAACTCAGACCTAGAAAGCGCCAGTAGGAAAGGGGAGAGGGAGGGTGGGGGCACAGACCCACTCAGGGCCCAGGGAGGTTTCGCCTGACAGCGGACAGGCATCTGGTGGCCCTCAGGGAGTGAGGCCCCCTTCCCCCCCC